ATATGTATGTGTGTGTGTGTGTGTAGTGTTTATGTTTATATATATATATATATATATATATATATATATAATAAGGTTTTATAATTAAGCATTTTATTTGTTGATTGATTTATTAAGGAGAAGGGAATTTGGAACTATAGTCAAGTGTTTTAACTAAAAGGTTAAATAGGGGTTAAGTTTTTAAAAGGGAAATTTTTTTATTAGACTCTTTTCATGTTTTCTTTTCACGTACGTTTTTATGTTTCAAAGCTTAGAGAATCGGAGAGTGAAGGAAACCACTCTAGAGTTGTAAGATTGTCTTCTTCTACTCATTAAGGTAAAGGGAGAGTGAGAAAACTCGTTCTAGTGTAGAATTGGCCCCCAATCTTGTCTTTGTTATATGTCTATGTATAAGCAATTTTTTTTCAAATGTGTCTTTATCTTCTTTGTTTCTCTTTATATGTTCTTATTGAAGTAATTAGTGTGTGTGTTGCTAACTTTTGAGTTTGACTTATAATTGTATATTTTGGTGTTCAGGGGTTCCTATGAAAAATCCTAAGAGAATGCATTAGTGGTTGTATGAGGAGATGACTTGAGTATGTATTTATGTGTAAATTGTACCTTTTAGAAGAGTAACGTAACCTCTAGAGTGTTTTTACCAGTTGGATTTGGGTTAAAGGTGTTTGGGAAGGGTGTGGGGAAGGTTAAAGATCCATAAACAATATATTTTCACGTTTGGGACTATCGTATTTCGCTTCAAGCGACCATAGTCTTGCTCTAAGAGAATTGATTTTGTTTCAAGTGACCTTATAGTGTATTTGGATGAGGAATTTTACAAATTTAAGGAATTTTAAATTCTTGGTATTTAAGTTACTTTGATTTCAATTTCTATCATTCTTAAAATATTTTGTTTGGATAAGTCAATTCAAATTTATCAAATTTTAAATTATTGGGTTGGATATGATAATTTAATTTCACCATGGTAAAATTAATTTTAAAAATATACTTATATGTTGAGATTTTTAAATTAAATTTTATAAAAGTAAACATTAGCTAATTTTTAAATATTTAATAAGTTTAACAATTAATATTAGATAATATTTAATAATTTTAAAAATAGTTTGGACTAGTCAAGAATTAAAAATATTAATATATAATATATAAGATAAAATATATAAGTGAAATAAGAAGAAGAAAAAAATATGAGAAATTTCAAATTCTCACTTTTTTTGGAGAATTTAAAATTCTACTATTTCAAATAATTTCACAAATGCTTGAATTTCAAATTTCTTATAAATTCTCCATCCAAACAAGGTATTTTACCTCAAAGAATTTGAAATTCTTCAAATAAATGAATTACTTCATTTAAATTCCTCATCCAAACACACTATTAGGCTTGCTCAAACGAATCCTGACAAAGAGTTTCGAGTAACACTCACTTTGGGTGCATTTTACCTTACTCCAAGTGAGCTAATCTTGCTTAAGCAATATATTGGCTTGCTTAGACAAGTAAATGGCACAATTGGATTTTGTGATTTTCATAAAAGTTGTAGCCCTAGATGTTAGCTTTTAAATGTCGTTAGAATCACCTAAAAAAGAGGTTTATAACTAAAATTATGATCAAATTAGTGTGTAAAAGATAGATTGTCAAAATTAGGCTGAAATGTTGCAATTTTGTATTTTTAAAAAATAGTAGATGGAAGAATTAGATCTTGTGGTAAATATATAAGTTATAGATAATTGTCTTAGCTTTATAAGAAAATTAAGATCAATTTGAAATCATATACATAACTCTAGATAAGGTGTTTGGACTACACAATGTCTTAGAAGATTAAGTAATAAAAATGTAGTTTGTGAATGGTGATAATCAATATTTAAGTTTTGGATCCTATGAATGGTTTGAGGTACTTATATCAATGTTTAAGAAGGATAAATCATGATAAAAAACAATTGTTAAAAAGTTATGATGTAAGTTGATTGTTAATGACTTGAGGTGTTTTGATGATAGTGATGTTCAAGAGCTTGATGTGAGTTATGATGTAAGTTGATCATTAATGACTTGAAGTGTTTTGTTGATAACGATGTCTATGGACTTAATGTGTGATATTGATAAGGTTGCTAGTCTAGTTAAGCTATTGATTTAAATACTAAGTGACATTGATCTCTTAGTGACTATGGTCAAGGTGTTAACGTATGATTAAACAATCTCATAATGATTCTACCTTGAGGTGTATCAGATGATGTTGTGTAATCATTGTACTATTTAATGTTGATAATTGGTTGTAGTGTGCTAGTATGCTATTGATATGATATATTATGAGTTATGTGCGAATTGATTGATGTGCTTTGGCATTAATATAAATGATATGTATGGATCTTGTGAGGGTCATATGATGAGAAGTCTAAGCGAGGTTTAACCATGATATGATATGATAAGACATGTGATGTGTGAAATGTTACGTGCAGAGCTTATTTGACATGCATCATATGCATAAAAATATTTTTAAGGATAGGATATAGAATACATTATCAGGAAAAGCCCCTTATGTAAAACCTTGGGGATTAGTCATTGGGGATGGCGTGGTTTAAAAGTCTTAGTATCGTATTTTGTATGCATGAAATGTATCTTGCACAGCTTAACTATCCCGACTAGGCCCTAGTAGTATGTCCTCCTAATATCTCATGTTTTGCTAACAGCAATGCACAAGTAATGTGTGATACTTTTATTAGTGTCACATGCATCATAATATGTATTATGTATTCATTGCATAATGTATTATAATGTTATGTGTTATTATTTATTATGCTATGAATGAACCAAGTGTGATAATGACATTTATCTATGTATGTTATGTCTTGTTGTACGCTTGTTTGTGTTTGGTTATCCGATGACATTCTTACACTGTGAGCTAGAGTGAAATTTTTCTCACTCTCTTGCTTGTTTGTTGTTGTTCTTGTGAGTTTTGCAAGTGGCATTAACATGGTGATGAATATGTTGGCGATGAGCTTAGGTTTTATGAGGGGTGCTCTAATAGGACATATAACATCAGGACATAGTTAGGATTAAATTAGGAGTCTATTTCGTATTATTAAAATTGAAAGGGTGGGTTTTAATTCCTTTGTAATTTCATTATTTTCATTAAATTAGTTTATGTTAACAATGTGATTCTCTCTACTTAGATGGATTTTAAATTCATTATTTTACAGGAAGTATTTCAGTTTCATATTATTTATGTTTTATGGTATGTAGGATAGAGGGTGTCACATTAAATATAGGTTCGTTTGTTTAAACTTAAAAATAAGTGTTTCTTAACAAATACTTCTAAAAAAAATAACTCTTTAAAAATAAGAGTTGTTTTTTGAAAAAAAGCAAAAAATTATTTATTTTTAAAAAGTTTAGACAATATATCAAAAAATAATTAAAAAATGTGTTTGTTTTATTAAAAAAAATTTATAAGAAAAAAGTTTAAATAAACAGACTATTTATATGAATAAGATTATACACAATAAAGAAATAAAAAAAAGAATAAAATTGTTTGAAAATGAAAACAAGAGCAAAGATAAAATGAAAGGAAAAAAAAAACTACAAATCTTAATGATTTGCAAAAATAACTATTCTTAGAAGATCTCATGTTTGTAGATTGCCCTAAATATTACTGTTAATAAATAAGTTTGAACAATTCTTTCAAAATGATTTTTTGATAAACTAAATGTAGCCCTTATATCACTTTTAATAAATAGATTTAAATGATAGCATTGACTTATTAATAAATCATTCGTCCCATTTGTTTTGAAATTGGATAAACTTAATTTAATAACTAATTTAATCCATTGAATGTAATTAAAATATGTTAAAATTAATACCAATCTCCATCATATATTTTATATTATAGGTGTTTTTCAAAGAGATCTCTTGTCAAACCATTATATATCTTTAAAAAAGAAGGTAGCCTTTGACCCCGAAAAGAAAAGATGACACCCTACCAAAAGATAAGTGAGGAAGAAAGTAAATGCCTGAAAAGTAGCCCCGCTAAGTGCAGTTACTTTTTGAGTTTGGCTCCCTCAATTTTTTCCATTAATAGTTTTCGCATTAATAAGGTTCCAAGCTTGGACATGAATTATCACTGAAAATACCACTTTATTTTTGTAAGGACATCTCCAATGAAAGCAACTCATTTGAGTTACTTCATGTATTGGAAAATAAAAAAAATGGTCTCTAGTGTGCCATGTCAGCATTAAGCAATTCAAATAGAAATTTACTACAATGGTAAAAAACTTTAAAAAATTTAACTTTTAGAATTTTTTTTAAATCATTTATGAACCAAATTAATTTTTTTATTAAAAAGAACAGTTACACTACAATAAAAGAAAATAAATTATGAGAAAAAATACACAATACAATCAATGGATAATTTTTTAATTTTTTATTTCTTGTTTCTTTAAAACGTCTCTTTTTCTTCTTCTTCCTGAGAGGTTCTTTTCATTTTTCTTCCTCCTTCCTTTTCTTCCAACTCCTCCTTCAAACTCCTTCTGCCACCGTCGCCGCCAGCGAGCGCACCAGGTCAGCCAAAATGTCTACCCGCGGCTAAACGTCCACCTGCGCGCCTCCGTTGTCCAACCGCGTGCCTCCGCTGTCCAACCGCGCGCCTCCTCCGTACAACCACCGCCTCACCACCGCGCCTCCTTCAGTTCACAAAAGTAAGGAACGGTTACTTCAATAAGCAACCCTCTCTCCTTTGCAAGAAATTCTTGCTGCCACGTCACACCTCTCCAATAGTAACAAACTGAGGTCGGAAGCAACTCCCATTGGAGTTGCTTTTAAGTGTCGACTTGATAAAAAAAATTATACTTTCTTATTAAACAAAAAAAAAAAAAAAAAAAAAAAGCCACTCAATTTCCCAAATGATGCGCAGCCATCCTTAGTGCATGTTTCTCGTAGATATTTATCTCAGGATGACAAAAAAATGGCTTTTGAGCACACACATGATAGATTTATATATTATCATGCTCACACTATAATGACAGTTATTGATTGCTATACTTTTGAATATCATAAGCATAAGTGACTCAAGCTTATCTCAATGAATATGAATTTCTTTTACTTGGTATATTTAACATTTCCATAACTAACAAATGAGGCAAAACAACAGGAGATAAATGAAAAAGCAAAACTGAAATCCCCCATCACTTCTTCTTTCCTGCTTTTCCTTCCTTTCTCCTTACAACTTCATCAGCATATTTGACACCCTTTCCTTTGTATGGCTCTGGGGGTCTCCACTTCCTAATAGAAGCAGCAAACTGGCCAACCTCAGATTTGTCATATCCACTAACTGTGATTCTGGTGTTTTCTTCCACCTTCACTTTGAGGCCATTAGGGATTGTCATCTTAACAGGATGGGAAAATCCGAGATTCAGCACGATATCGTTTCCTTCTACCGTTGCACGATAACCAACGCCAACAAGTTGAAGTTTCTTTTCAAAACCTTTAGATACTCCAACCACAAGGTTGTCTGTAAGCGTCCTGAAAACATTTGTTTGCAAACCACACGAGTCAAGTATGAATATATAGACAACTGAAATGTTATTAGAATTGAGATGATGAGCACTGCTTAAGCTTTCAAAGGTTAAATTAATGATTCTACTCACACATGAAATGATGAATTGATGATGATGATAATGATCACTATACAACAACAAAACTAACAACAATTATAGCACTATGTCAAGCCAAAAGATAACAAGTGTTCTTTTGCCCCAACAAACAAAAAAGTGAATGATGAGCATCTGCAAAATGTATTGCACAAATTTGATTAGTTTCAAGATTATTCACAAATGCAGGCATAAATCTAATTTAAACCGTTTGGGACACTTTTATATCTCAAGCTCAATAACAAGAAATAACGCAATCTCTGAACTACCAGGGTTAATTGTAAAAGTTAATTGCACTGAGAGTGGGATCAATGTTCTCACCACCAGCTATAAAAAGCTGCAAATAACACAAGCTTTTCATCAAATTACAGAAATGACAAGAAAAAGGAAGGGGGATGGAGAGTGAGGGACCATCAAAATGGAAATTTTCAAACGAACATAATGGAACCTTATCCCGAACATGATTAGTTAATGCTTGTTGTAGAAGGGTCTAGTAAAAGAACAAGAACCATAAAGGTTCCAAAACCCAAGATATTCTCTGAATTTATAAACATTGAATATTCTAAACAGAATATCATTTTAATTGGTATCAACTGGAGAGTTTATTTCCAGGATTTGAAACTACGACTTTCAGGTCACAAGGCAACAAGCCAACAACTTTCTGTTGTATCATTGCTCGCCCTTGCAACACAAAAAATCTAATCAGATAATAAATTTTAATAAAATAGTTTCTTGAAAACAAATAAGTTATCAAAGATATATTGAAGATCACAATATTCCCAAATAATATAATTAACATAAACCACTAAATTATCATGATGAAAAAGAATACTGCCTAATTGACAAGCTCGTCCATCATGCATCACTACTTTCCTGTCTTATCTCTTAAGTAATTAACATCATACTAACTACCAACATCTAGCTCAAATAATTTATTGCCATGACTCACGAAGCAACACCAACAAATGAATAATAAGCTATAAATTTACAACTATCATTATGCTACAAACATTGGCACGTATTCCTCAGACAATGGCAACATCTCCTATTTCCTATAATCAAATAATGTTTTCTTCCAATTTCTTTTGAGTTTGTTAAGAAAATAGTTTTGAAATAATCCAACGTTCAAATTCCATTAGCATGTATTAAGACAAAATGGAAATGTAATACTCCCAAATCCTAATTTTTAAAAGGAAAAAGAAAAGGTCAATAAATGAAGTACCTAAAAAGCCCATGCATTTGATTGGCCCTTCTGGTTTCAACTGCCTTTCTTACTCTTAGAGTCCCTGAATCTTCCCTCTCAACCAGCACTTCTCGAGGATATGTTAATGCAAGTTCCCCCAAAGGACCTTTCACTTGTATATCCTGTCCTTCCAATTTGACTGTAACATTGGATGGCACAGCAATTGGTTGCTTCCCAATTCGTGATTCCTTACATTCCACAGTCTTTCTAATCAAACCAACATGAGCACCAGGAACACTTGAAACTCTAAGCTTATTTGTCTCACCCACAAAAACAGACTTCAAATTGCTGAAATAGGATGGTAAATGGCTAGTGAGATTTCTCAAACTAATAGAACATTTATTTTGAGTTAAAGGAGCTTTCCATTAACCAAGAAGTTATATTAATCATATGAACACTTTAAAAGAAAAATAGATATAAACCAAAAAAATAAAATAAAATCAAGAGTCCTTTAAATAGACATAGCCCATTTAACTCGATTTTCTCCTTAAATTTGGAACTTATATTCCACTTCATAGCCTTGTAATCAATGTTAAAATACAATTTTGAGGAAATGTAAAGCGCGACATTCAACTAGAACATAAGGCATGTCTCACATCAAGATGTTTGTATAAAAGCAATCAATGAAGTGGCCGCAAACAATAATCTCTCAAAATCCTTTCGGTCAACAGCAAAAGCATGAATACATTCCTATGAATAATTTCATCAAGAATTCCCTGTTGGACTACTAAGCAAGCATGCTCATTAAACTTCTCTTCAAACCTACACATGCCACTTGCAATATAAAAACCAAATTCACAATCATTATTCTTCAAAGACTCACTATACCACTAACAAGCATTTCATCAAATACCCTCACTGCAACACCCACTTCATTGAATTCCAAGCACATAATAACAAAATTATCATTATTATCATCATCCACTAGCAAACCATTTTGAAAACCAGATTCAATCAAAGACCCACAAATTGCTTGAGCCAGCAAACAATTCTTCAGACCCAATTAATACTTGAAGGACTCAGCTCCACTCATGTGGAAGAAAACCACATTTACATGGTGAAAAAATGAGAGAGTCCAGAACAGTGGGGTTTCTCAAAGTTTGAAACTTTGTGAGCTCTTATGATAAAGGGAGCTGAATCCCGTAATGGGTGTTTTTACTTTGATGTGATGCAACATTTGAAACCCATATAACCATTACTGAAGAGTGCAATGTAACACTGGTGGAGCTCCAAAACACGGGGAATTAAGAAAGTGAAGTAGCCTAAGTGAAGCAAAGAAGAGAAAGAGTAAGATTTAAGAGCTTGACCTGATACGAAAAGAGGAGGTAACCGAGGAAGCCATTGTTACAAGGTTGTTCCAACAAGAACAAAAGAAGAAAGCCTTATCCAAGGAGGTACCTCAGCACCTGTTATCTGCTACGGTGGCTTGATCGGAATTCTTTTTCTTTTTTATTTTTTTTTTAATAAAAACGTTATCGGTTATTGTTGGAATTTACGGTTGTGGTCCAAGAAATATTGATGGGGGTAACGCTTATTGGGTATTGGATAATACCTTTTGGGCCCCAAAGCCCAATATCAGTTTAAGCTTGAGCGATCCTTCCAACGAAACAATGGGGTCATTTGTATTGTGTATGCCAATTTTTTTTTAATTGAGTAATAACTCTACTTGATTGTCAGAAAGATTAGTACATCACACGTTTGTATTTTTTCGAAAAATATAAAAATTATTATTCATCTTTGTGGAAGAACATATATTTTATATGTATACGAGTATGATATAATAACATTTATTTTAAAAGAGTATATTGAGAGTGTAAATATTTTTTTCTTTATCAAAAATAACTATGTTCAAAAATGTAATATCATTATAAGAAATTAAATTCTTCTTCCAAATATATGATGGAACTGTATATCTAAAACTCAAATTCAAGATATTAATTAAATTTTAAAAAAAATCACATCAGTTGATTTACATGTGTGATCATAAAATGTAAATGTTTTTTATATTATCATTTTGCCATAAAATATATGTATAATAAAATTATTAACGTACTGTAATAATTAATTTAAAACTCGTGCTTATAGTAATTTCTAATTAATTATTGTATAAAAATCTTTATAATGATAATGTATCAAAATTAAACTTGCAAAACTAGTGTAGTATAATGGCTTAATGTTAGAAGAATCAAATATACTTACTTTTTAAAGGATCAAGAGAATGGTACGTTTCCCAATGAAGATTAAGAAGCTTCTCTAACCTTTTATAAGCGTAGTCTACACATTGAGCAATCCAATGAGAGTATACACTATCCTAAGGCCTATGTGGAGTAGTAGAGTCCATTGTGGACGTGATGGATCATACTTTGTGATTCAATTTTGAACTTCTCCATATCCTAATAAACGGAGAGATCCTATTAATTAGGATATGTGAACTTAGATAGGGGTTATAGATTTTTCATGATAACACGTATGGTAAGTGCGTGTATAAAAGAAAAGTTATGGAAAGATATAAAAAATGAGATAATAGATTATGCTTTTGTAAGAGCTAATTAAGAAGACACTTTTTGAGTTGCTTCTTGAATGAATGTTAAGTAATAAAGTAGATTTTGCCAAGTTGGCTAGGTTCTTGGTTTGAGAGTAACTAGCAGAGCTATTGCTGGATACTACCCAACTTTATACTTTAAAAAATATGCCAAGTCCCTCCCTCCTTCAATACACATACTTTTCTCTGCTTTGTTAACTTCTTTATGCTCATAAAATTTGTTTCTACATGATGATAGTCTTCAACTGTATCGTGTGTACTTGGCTCCTTTCATCACATGCAGAAATATGGTTTTACAGAGAAAATGGTCTGTGAACACAGAAAGGTAACAACAAAGTGTTGTTCCTTTAATTTGAAAGTGTATTTTTAAGATATGCCTTTATAAAGAAAGATATAATAAAAATAGTGGGAGGATTGAATTACCTTTATACAATATCATAACAGTTGAATTTTTTAAGTTCCTGAGCAAATAAAAAATTATGATATCCTCTATTATTTAAGTATTTTTTTTAATCTTTTATTCTAAAATTATTAGGATATCAAAAATATTTTTAAGATCATTCATAGTAAATGTATCTCATTTAGTATATCATTTTTTTAGTAATTCATCTTGTAATCACTTCTTAGGTTATTTCATGTTTTTAGAACATAAATATCTAATGAACTATATATATTATGTTGTCCAACACGAATATGTTAATTTTTATCATTAAAATTTAATACATTCAATTTTATTATGATAATTATTTTCATATTCACCATTTCCAACTAAAATATTAAATTTTTCATCATTTTTATACAATTCATCATTCTTAAAAGTTTTAGCTTTAGAATCTAGATTATCTAAATTTGCATCATTTTGAAGAAAAATTATAGGATGTTTAACAAAAAATTATCAAAAACACCCTTTTGAGAATCAATATCAATTTCAATTATTTTTTTTTTTCATTTTAGATAACCAGAATGTTATTTTCTATGCAATATGTTCAAACTCAAATAATTAGAAAAGTATATAAAAAAAACTAAATTATAATATATGATTCAAATTATGGGTCTTTAATGAGTAAATGTCAATGAAATGAAACAATAATAGCTAATTATATATTTTTAAACCTTTATCTTGAACTCTCAATTTGTTATTATGGAAGAAAAAAATTAACAATTATCAAGAAATTTGTGGTGGCTAACAGATAGAGATTTTTAATCTGATTCTGAGATTCTAATATAGCATAAGAGATAACAATTAAGAGAATAAAAAAAAAAATATATATATATATATATATATATATATAAAAGGAAAGATCATCCTTATTTTTTAATAATAAAAGAAATATAGGATATGAAAATTAAAAAAATAATTCAATAATACATATAATATTATATAGCACACTTTCCTTTTTATATTTAACATCATCAATTTATTTCCTAAATTACAAGTACATTTTTATTGTAAAATAAAATAATTGCATACTAATTTTATTTTATATTTATATAAATTAAAAATAAGAATTGGTGTCCTCTGAAAATGAAACTCTACGCAGTTGTCCATCCAGACCGTGCTCAAAGTCGTTACTGTATTATAATGCAAATTCAAACACTAGTAGTGAGAATTAGAGTAATATAAACAACATTTTAAATTTGAACTTTGTTACAGTGAATATAATTTTTATAATAAGAAAAATATAATGTAAAAATTTTATATTGTTAATCAGTCAGAAATAACTGATACTATATATGAATATTAATATAATTATCGTAAAAGATAAGAAATTTATAATATATGATAGTTTTAAGGTGCATATATAACCTTTTTCTTTTTTTCTTTTTTCTTTTTTTATATTTAAATAATAGAATTTGGTGTTCATTTGATGAAGCTTTATGTATGCAGTATGCAGAATTTAAACACAGCGCTTTAATGGTTTGATTTTAATATATTTTCGTTTTGTTCGCATGAATTGTACTTTTTGTGAAAGAAGCTCTTATGAAGAATATCTAAAATCAGCTTTACTCCATAAGATTGTTACCTGCCTTTTTCGTTTTGATTTCGAAAGTGCATTTTAACAAGTGGTCCAACGACAAATAGCAACTATTAATCACTTTAATTTTTTTAAAAAAAAATTTGATGTTAAATATTAATATGTTTTGAATAATGTTTCAGAATTAACGAGTTAGAAGATTTTATTCTATTTATTTAATAAATAATTATAACCATTTCAAACTATAATTATAATTAAACATACCTTCAAAAATTTGATGAATCACAACCAAAATTTTTGTAATGAGTAACATAAAATCAATGAGATATTTGGAAAATAAGTTTTTCAAAATAAATAATTAATTTGAAAAATACAAAATATATTCAAAAATAAAAGAATACAAAGAGGTACTAGACCGTTAAAAGAATTTTTTTTTTCTGAAAGTAGCGAAACATAGGAGCTGTCACCTTGCTTTTAGTTGCAATCTAAACAAGCAATCAATTTTTTTTCTTTTCTTTTATTACTTTTTGACAGATTTGTTTAATTATGTCTTGGAAACACTCCTTAAATAGAATTTATGGTCTAATTTTTTAAAATTTGACATAACCTATTTAATAAAAAGTTAGATTTAATTTTTTAAAAATTTATTTATTTAAAAAGATTGGATTTAAACTTTAAAAAAGTCTATTTAATCTGATAAATCAACTTATTTATTTATATAATATAATAAAAAATTAATATATGTTATATTATTAATAATATAATTAAATAAATAAATTTATCACATAAAAATAAATTATCAATAGTTTTAACATTTTTATTGTACACTTAAATATTTTACACACCTTATTTAATTATAAGAAAACGAGAAATTGAAAATAAAAACATTATAATAGTTACATCGTTATTTTCCTTCATCTTCATAATTGGTTATTTAAAATATTAAAGATAAGATATAGGAAATATTTAGAAAATTTTTTTAGATAAGATTATTCTCTTTCATCACAACCTGAGCATGAAGTATATGTCAATTTACATTGGGTATATATAAATTGTCCTTCTTACATTAATTTTTATTTTTAATTTAAAATTTTAATTTTAATAATAATGAAGCAAATTATTTTTTATCATGCAAATAAATAAATAAAAAGACTCGTACATATATTTTAAAATAGATTTATTATTTTATTTAAAATTAATTTTATGAACTTATTTAGTATTGTTAATATAAAATAAATTTTAAATAATTGGACATACCAAACTTTAGTTCAAATTAAGTCTGAAAAAAAAAGCATATAATATATAATACCTTCATTTATAAGACATATATATTCAAAATATGATGAAATATAATCTCATCCCTGAGCACATCATATTATTTCATAAATAAGTAGAAATTGTTACATTAACAACTCATCGGACAATAACAATAACTTCACATTAAATTTATAATTCACCAAAAAAAATTATTAAATTTAAGCAGTTGAAATCAAACTGTTTTTTTTTTGGGTGTTTAGCCTTTTGATGAACATATATTGCTATAGCCACCTAACTATAAGGTTTACCAATAACCACTTGTAACTAAGAAGTTAAAAAAAAAAAAATCAAGTTGTATTTAACTTACAAATCATTCATTGTGCATTGATGCGAATATGCGATAGCAGGAATTATGTAATATCATTAACTTAGATCATGATGTTACATGTGTCTAGCATGCACCAACATTGTCTCTTTTAAAATTAAGAAGAAAAAAAATGGTTCGTTATATCATTTTTGGCACCCCTAAAAACATACATAAATTGCTGAATGATGTCTAACATAAATTTAGAAATGAGTCATATGATCGCTTTAAAAGCGAGGATAGTAGGAATATGCACATATTCTAGGTTGGAACCATATTGATATTTTTGTAATTTTTTATGAATAAAAAAATAAATAAACATTAGAAAAGAAATATCAAGTGAAATCGGTAAAAGAAAATTTTCATTTTTATATTTTTAGATAGTAAAAATTGAACTAAAATTTCATTTACCTACTCTAATCTTTCATCATTAAACCAAATTTAAATATGATATATTTTTTTAACAAATCACTTGTATTTTTCACTTGAGATAATCATATTTAAGTAGGATTAGAATCTTTATGGATAATAAAACTCTCCTTTAAAGTATATAACACATTTATACAAGATAAACTAATTGAGTAACATGCTTATTGCTAAATATGATAGGTGATATAATGTGATAGTAAAAGAATAATAGAGAAAAATAAGGAGTGGTAGTTAGATATTAAAAAAATAATAATAAAAGTAGTGTCGACTAAAATTTATTTCTCTTACATATGTTAATTACATGGCACCCACCATGCACCCTTGGTTGGTTTACAAATTAGAAGCAAGATCCTACACTACACTACAAGATATGGATGTAGGCATCATAATGTTGTGTGTCCAGCAAAGAAAAGAGAAAAGAGAAGGAATCGATCAGTGATGTCTACCATTTCGATCATTGCACTCAGAAATGTTCAAATGTGTTGGCATGAGTGGTCCATGGGGGTGGCAAGTCAATGGAGACAGCCTTAGGGAGAGAGAGGGAGTGTGCCTCAAAATTGGGGAGCGCAAGAGAAACTCACGCTTTTGCCACATACCACGCGCGAATATACTCTACTGTGCACCCTTTTTAGATTTCAAAACCCAATGAACCCCTTTTTCAGCCTAACTGTTTAAAAGAGACCCTTCACATAGTTTAGCAAACCAACAACAACAACATCACTTTGATCGAAGCCAAAGGCTAAGGCCAAGGCTGAGTGAACCACACCACACCACCCTCTTCTTTTTCTTTCATAAAAGGGCTTTCATTGCTCCAAACTAGAAGAATCATCTCCTTCTTTCGGTCTAAGCTAAACAAACAATGTCTGTAAGTCCCTTTTCTATTCTCTCTCCTAGGTACACAAATAATGAATGGTTTGCTTCATTGTTAGTGAGTTTCCAATTCTATATACTAAAAATTATGGTGATACTATAAGAAAGTAGGAGTAACTATTTGTTATTTTATCTTCAGTGTGTAAAAATAATTGGTTATTTCTCATCATCAAACTTATTCAGACAGGTTTAGTTCAATAGTTTAAGTTTAAGTAGAGTGAATGGTCAGTTATTATAAACTCCTTTTATATGGAGTTGAATTTTGATAAATAAAAATAAATCCAGACACACTGTTTGTGTGTTTGAAGAGAAATTAATTAGAAGTTAATGGGTTATGACTGAGATTGGTGTAATGTGTGGGACATTGCAGAATTAGTCATGTCATGCTATAATGCTTATGCACAAGGTCATTGGGAGGCGGTGTTTATTTATTATACATTATTGTATATATTAAATTAAAAAATAAAAAATTACTGACAAGTATTTTCCTTGCAGAATATGATAGAGGTGAGAGTTCCAAATCTTGATTGTGAAGGATGTGCTTCAAAATTAAAGAAAGCTCTCTTCAAGCTCAAAGGTACACTTTGCATATAAGCAATTTTTTTTGCCTTTTTATTATTATTATTATTATTATTTTTGTTGGTCTCTTTTCTAGTAGTTGTTATGTGTTGAGCTTGGTACACATGGGCCATTAAACGGCGTGTGGCTGATCTTAGCATTTTATTTTGGGCTTTGATTTCCAAAATTCCATGTGCATTCCTCTTTTGCTTTTCTAAGTGGGAACCATAAGTCAAGAACTTGGTACACTGCATCATTCTGGGGTCCATGTAGACCTACCTGTTGCATGTTGGGCTCCATATTTATTCATGCTGTGTTTTTCAAATCCAACAAGTTAGCATGGCTCCTCTGTCCTCACACCTTAACCCAAAGAAATTAATTGTCAGAAATAATGCTTACAATAAATTTATTATTATTATTTTTAATTGGTCTTTCACATTATTATTATTTAGTAATGTCATCATTATTATTATTATTATTACTTTTTATAATGTGTAATGTGTAAATGCATAGATGATGTGTTAAAATGTACAACTTTTGTTTTGGTTATATATAGAGTGAACAAAAGAGAAAAGCATGACATGATGGGTTCTCATTCAGCATCAAAATAAGCATGCTCAAAAGCAAGCAAAAGTACTATAAAGTGACTTTTACTTGATCTAAGTTGGGTCACCATTGAGCCAAATGCATGATTGAGTTAGTTGTATTTCTCTTAACCACCTTAATAAGGGCATTTGACTCTAGTAGAATTTTGAATTATCCCTAAAGCTTCCACCCTTTTGAACTAGCTACAAAATTAATTCTTGGTGTGAGATTCAGGCCAACTCAAGCGAGTTCTAGAGTAAATTTTAAGAATTTATTTTACTGTATAATAACTAATAGTAAATATTTTTTGTTGATGGTATTAAAGTTTAAAATTTAACATGTCTAATCCTTAAACCGACCTTATTAGGATTTAGCCATTCTTAAAATTCTTCTTTTAAGGATGTGTTATCCGAGAATCAAACTCAAGTTCTCAACAAACACAACGTGTGTTGCTAACTGAGTCACACTAATTGGACAACCCAATTAGTTGTATATTTGTATTATGCATGATGTTGAATTATGATCAATGTGTGATGTGCAGGAGTAGATGAGGTAGAAGTTGAAATGGAAGCACAAAAAATAACAGTGAGAGGTTATGGATTGGAGGAAAAGAAAGTTCTTAAGGCAATCAAACGTGCAGGGAAAGTAGCAGAGCCATGGCCATTTCCAGGGCATGCACATTATGCTTCATTCTACAAGTACCCTAGTTACATTGTTAACCATTACTATGATGCATACAAAAGTGAAGCAACAAGTGGGGTCCACACTTTCTTCCACACCCCTGCAGTGTATTCAGTTGCTGTGGCATCTGATGAGGCCTTTGCTTCTCTCTTTAGTGATGATAACCCTCATGCTTGCTCTATAATGTAATGTAATTAAATATTAAACCATGTTCATGTACTTGTTTTCCTCCACTTTAGGTTAGTTTCTCTTTGAAGAGAAGGTGAAGAAGCAAAAGGTGAGTGAACTAGGCATGTTTTCGTAGGGAATTTAGTGTTTGTGTATTGGTTAATTTTTTTTGACAATTTTCTTGAGTGTGTTATCATGTGCCTACTTTTAATATCCATTGCGTTTTTCTGGATCCTTTCTTTTTCCAATTTTGGTTATAATTTATATACAGGAGTATAAATATTTATAAGTGGCTTTTGAGCACGGACTCATATTTTGAGGGCCACCAAAAAAATATGATTAAGTCTATATACTATAAAAATAAAATTTTACGTGATTAAATTATATTAAAAAAAATTAAGTGTGAATAATTAATCAATTAATAGATGTTTTCACTTCTCAACAAAAAATTATCCACAATTTTAAGAAAATAAATTAACAGTGTTAAATATAAAGAGAAAAATGTGATGATGTACTATGAATTTATTTCCTTTTTTCTCTAGACGTGAACTTATATAAATGTTAACTTAAATTTATCAATAAAAGTTGTCTTAAGCTTTCAATTTTTCTTTTTATCTCTCTAATTTCTTCTATTGTCTTCCTATTATTTGAATAGTGATCTCTTTTACTCCTTTTAAATCTTGAAATTAAATCGCAAGTATCCACTTCTTAGTCATAATAAAGATTTTGAGACGCATCACTATTGTTGATCCTTCATTATGTAATAGTCTCTAAGGATAATTTATATTTTCATAGGGTATTTTTTAAACAAATGTTTATTTAATTGTTTGTTGTTTAAACCTTTAATTGGATTTTAATGTAAATTAGGAGTTATCGAGTGAAACATAATAGAACATCATTTTAAACATAATATTCAGCCAAGAATATGAAGAAAAAAACCATTTTTTTGCAGACAAAAATAGGGTAAAACTATCCGAGATCAATACTATATGGTTCAAGAAGCAATCCTTCAACAAAATCACTCTTCCACAAGAGTTCACCAACATATTTCTCAACATCAACAGAAAATAAAATGAACTACAAGCCTCCAAGACTTTTGTCCAAAACCTTTTGTCAAAAAGCTTGTTTTTATGAGTCCTTTTGCCAAGCTTTTGCAAGCATAGTGTTCCAAACTTTCTATTCGAAAAAAAAATTCAAGTCTCACATCAACTAAAAGATAGGACAATTAAAGAGTATACAAGTGAGTTTGAGTTTAACTCAACCTATATATAAAACTAAAATAAGTCTTACATTATTAGAACAAAAATATAAATAAGAGTTTATAACACATACATACTCCATTGGTTGAGAAACCTTTAAGGTGATGACCAAAAGTAAAACTGTGAGAGTTTAATTTCAAAGTGGATAATATCTTGCCATTGTGGAGTTGTGTGTGCAAACACCCCAATAAAAAAATATAAACCCTCCTCTTAATAAATATTTCCTTTAAAAAAAGTTCAATAACATAACCTAATGGTGGTATCAGAGCTAGTGGTTTAATTTAGTGGTAACCAATATATTCATAACCAATAGATACAAATAATAAAAATAATGATATACAAAAATAGATTCCACTAAATGGGAGGTTAGGTCCTTTGTTTGAAAGAAGGATTATTAGGATACAAACCAAGTTTCACATCATTAGAACAAGAAAAGAAATAAGAGCTTATAAAACACATACATACTTTATTGGTTAAGAGAGACCTTTTGGGTGATAACCAAAAGTACATCTATGATGTTAAGCCAAAAAAAGATATTAGATTCCTCAAACTCTCAAACTTTAATGATAACAAACATAACGTTTTTTTAAGAAATTTTTATTTTTTGTGAAATGTTTATCAAACGAAACATTAGATACAATTCGTTAGAGAAACAATGTGTCATCAAACGAAACATAAGGCCTATCTTTATAAAGTCTTATATGCCTATTATATATTTATAATGACTAACAACTAAATTTTTCATGTTTATAAACATATCAAACTAAGAAAACTCTTTATAACTTACAAATTTGTTAAAGAGAATAAAGTCATGCTTTACGCTAGAACCAAGGACAAATAGATCCTTGAAATCACGAACCAAGTCAACAAAAGTTGATGTAGAACCCATTCCTCACTAACACACGCTATAGATAGTTTGTTTAGTATTCTAAAGATGATAAATAACCTCCTTGATCAGATAAAAAGTGACAATTTGGTGAAACACATTTAATGCATCAATGAAAATTTCTCACCTCAAGGAACCTATAACAAAAGCAGAAGAAGCAAGCCTATGAGGAACCCTCAAGGTTTTGCAATGGTCATATTCATCCACACTACTATATAAGAAGCCTCATGATTAGAATGAAAAGAAGAGAAGACGAGAACCTTTTTGCAAGCATTTATACTGAATATATTATTCTTTCAATAAAGCTCTTTATACTTAATTTAGTATTGTATCACGACTTGATAGGAAAATGAAACAACTTTGTAAACCTTAGTAACATTAAGTTATTGGGTTTGAAACTAGAGATGCTTCTATAAAAAAAATATTTGTTGTTTGAACATGGAGAGACCTGTCTTTAAAAGAATACTTGTTGTAACACCTATTTTATAATTCTAAGTTTTATAATGTCTCTTTTATAAATTATTAATTCAATTACAAAAATAATATTTATAAAATGGTGATTTTTATTTTCCTAAAAAAAATAACTTTGTAATTATGTAAAAATAAAATTTATATACATATATACAAATATTTAACATATGAATAAAAGTAAATTACACACGCAAATATACATATATGGAGATTATTAATACATCATATAATATTTGAAAGTACATATAACAATGTAATTATATTAGTTTTATCGTTTACGTGAAGGAAAGGTATCTTATTTTTGTAATCTTTCCTTCATACTCTCATTATAAAGTTTAAATTGGAGGTTGAAATAAATTTATAATAGGATTTGTATAGTTAGCAGGTAGTAGAAAGAAGGTAACTATAATAGGACCACTGATGACTGTAAGGACTTCTTGTTCTAGAGAAAATGTAAAGGTTGATAAACCTATTCATTGAAAAGTGATGGAATTAGATATAGTGTCTATATTCTAACTTCCTCTAGGAGAAAAAGTAGAAATAACAACTGTGAAAGGGTTAGGAATTGCTGGAAGATCCATCTATTTTACATTATATTTAATTTAATATTTTGAAACATGAGGAATAAGGAGTGAAAATAATTATCTAATAATATAAATAAATAAATAGAACGTACATAAATATTTGTAGCTAATATTAATTATATATTTTAGATTTTTATGTTATAATGAAATTTGAATTATTCTTGTAGTGACTAGTTGAAATAAATGAGCTTTATCATAATCTCAAATAACATAAGGATATTTCATCTTAAATTTTTACTCATTTAAATCTTCAAGATCAAACTTTCAACTACAAATTAATTCAAACCTTTTTTTATGAACATAGATTAATAGTTATGTTTATAAAGTCAAAATAAAAAAGAATGATGAAATAATAATAAAATGAGTTTAGGAAAGTTAACTAAACTAGATTATAGTTAAAAATAATATAAAATAATTAAACTAAATGATTTAGAAACATTCATTAATATTTAATTAGAATTAAATATAACATAGTTTACACAAGTGAGATGAGGTTGAGAATATTAAAATAATTACACAATAGTTATAAATATCATAAAATAATTATACAAAATAAATTAGGAATACATCATTGACTATTTAGAGTTAAAAGTATCATAGATTAAACAAGTAATAAGATGAGGTTAGGGATATCTCACTAATTAAATATAGACAAACATAAAAATAAATATAACCATATAGAAAATAAAAATTTTAAAAAGAGATAAAAGTCTCCTCCCCTTTACCTATATTGTTCTTTTAACCGAACTTGATCTCCTTAAGTGACTTACAAAACGTAAAGAAAGAAAAGTTCAAAACAAGAGGAAGAGTGTTTCTCTCTGTGTTGAGTTCTTCACTTGAATCTCTCTTTATACTAATTGAGGAGGTTAAATTGGTAAAACCCATTAATGTATATGTGGCATACCCAATTACTGAAGAAGTAACAAGTTTTTCAAACTTTAGCTACTTTATGACTAATCCAATTTACAGATATTTGTTTGTTTGCATAATGATAGACTTGCAACATGTACTTAATTCTTGTTTCTATATATCTTTTTTTCTTCATTATCTCTGTAACACCCCAGTTTTCAAAAAGATTATTATTATTATTATTATTATTATTATTATTATATGGTATTTGGTCATAATTATTTTAATAATTATAGAGAAATATTATTTTGTACGTTTTAAATAATTATTGTTTTGGACAATTATTTTGTACGTATTAAATAAGTATTTTTATTAGCATTTTTAAATAAATATTTATATGTTTTAAGAGAAGGTTGATTTTATATGATATTTTGTTATTAAAATTATATTATTACATTTTGGGTCAAAAATTATTATTATTATAGAGGAAAATTATTTTATAATATACATGTATTTATTTTATTTAATTATTTTGAGGAAAAAGAGAAGTGGGTTAGAAGAGAAGGAAAATGGGTTGGGTTGACCCAGCCCAATGGATTAATTTTAAAAAAGGAGTCAGGTAGCGTTAACCTTATCAGCCTCATTTGCGTTCTGAAGGGTTAGGGAAAAAAAGAGGAGAAACAAAGAGCTATAAGGAAGAGTACTCAAGAACAATCTTAGATCATACCAAGACCATTCGTCTTCTGCTCATCCAGGTAAGGGGGAGTGAGAAACCTCACTCAGGGTGTGGGAATAATTGTTGGGTAGTCGGATTGGTCCTCAATCCTTTGGCTGATGCATGCTTCTAGGAACATGCAAAGTATGAATATTTCTGTTTTGCCTTCTGATTGCTTTGTTGTGTTCCTTGTTGGATGTGATTCATGAGTATGTGGTTAATTTTGAAAATGAATATGTTTTTATATGAATTAGAGTGTTCTGTGTTCCTACGGGAAATCCTATGAGAAAAAGGGCAAAATATGAATGTTTTTTGTTTTGCCTTCTGATTGTTCTGTTGTGTTCCTTGTTGGATGTGATGTATGAGTATGTGATTAATTTTGAAAATGAACATGTTTTGATATGAATTAGAGTGCTCTGTGGGTTCTTTTGGAAAACCCTATGAGATAAAATTAGGGATATGATCTATGGA